TAATACACAAAACAGACAAAAATTATATTTAAACTCAGCTTGTTAATATTAACATGTTATATAACAGACACTGCTCACGTGGCTCTGTTTACAGCCATCCTCAGCTTTGTTTGCTCCCGCCCTTCCCACCCCTGCTCTTTCCCAAACACCACCAAGCACAGGGCGAGACTAGCCAACAGGAGGGTTGTACAGACGGTGGTTCAGGCTGGACTTGATCCCACAGGCACCACGCCCCTTCAGCCTGTCAGCAAGGTGAAGGGCCCTGGTAGGTGTGAAAGGCAGCAGATGTGAGTGTTGAGAGCTACAGTCATTGGTCTCCATGTGGATCGTGCCCCGGCCTCTGTGCTTGGCCTCCCGAATATTAACTGGGTAACTTCAGAAGAGCTCTAAACTAAGGCATAGAAAGTGTGTCGGTAAATTGGTAGGATAATACTACCGAGACGGAATGGTTAGCATTATCTCATCAATTTGCAATAGTATTATTGTCTCTGAGTTCACAGTGTGCTGGGAGGCCTGTGTTTTTCAGATTCTTTCTCATATATGAAGTGCCCTACAGACAAAAGTTCTATTGCTCAATTTTCTGCCTGCTTTGAAACACTGACAAGGTTTACTTTTACCTCCAGATTTTATTTCACACTTGTTTCCAGAAAATAAAGTATTATCGTTTTCCCATGAACTATTAAAAGATCTTTTCCAGCAAATGTTTGAGAGATACACAGACCTTCTCTTTCACAGAAACTGATGGAAACCCGCAGAACATGGTATTAATTAAAACAGTGTTTCCCCAGAAAGAGCAAAGACAAACACAAAAATATGGTCCATGTTCAAATAAGTTAAGGAAATGCTGAGTTAAATGCAATTAAACAGATTTATTTTCTACTGAATCCTCAAGGCTGTTATTTTTCAATCTAGCTTTTTATTATTGTTATTGGGGGAAAAGGACATTCACTGTAGTAAAAACTTCAACATAAACTAAGTCTGTATAATGAAAGGAGTCTCTTTCCAATCACAGAAGTTCTGACCTTCTCTAATACTGATAGACCTGAAATATCCTTTCAGATTTTCTCTGCTCCTTTCATATATTTTTCAGTACGAATAGGTATTCTGTCTTCTTCAATACAGTTGGGACCAAATTATTCACTCTGTTTCTACCTTTCGTCACATAACAATATTTCAAGACTTTCTCTAATGAGTACGTGTAGATTTACCTCAGTCTTTTCAGTGGTTGTGTGGAATCCGTTGTAAGGCTGGTCTGTAATTGAATCAGTTCCCTATTAAAGCTGCAGCAGACCTTTTGCAGCCTTATGCTATCACAAACACAAATCCACGTGCACATGCCTCAGTAGCTCTCACACAATACAGTTTTGGAAGCAGAATTACTGCGTAAGATTTGGGCATTTTTCATTGTGTATGTTTTACCCAATTGCCATCCAAAAGAGGCTTTCTTATTTGCATTTTCATCAACAGGGTATGGCAGAGTCGCTTTCTCTGCATCCTCACCCATGATTTGGAGATTCTTTGATACACTTGCATGCGTTATGATCCCTGCAGAGTTTAAATGATAAAATATTTCAAGAACTTATTATTCTTATTAGTCATCACAGAGTGATGCTGTTTGTTTGGTGGGTGGTTTGGTCGTTTGTTTTTGCTTTGTTTTACATTTTGTTTGCCTTTATGGCAAGTCCGAAATCTTTGGAAACAGTTTGGAAAACACTGCGCTGGAAGGACATTAAATTATTGATGTGAAGCTCTGTTGGGAACAAGATAAAAAATCAGGCATGCTAGGCAAGAGATTTGATAGGAAAGAAATATAAGCAGAACATAATTTTAAAGTCAAAAAATGCACTCGTTACAAATTTCACTACAGCAGATCTACATATTAATACTTGCATTACAACTACTGTCTTGGAGAATGTGGGGAAATCATTTGTATTGATGTCAGTAGTGTTTACACTTCGTGTGCTAACCTGACACTCAGTAGTTCTGGGTAAATTCTGACTGCTAATTTGGTGAAAAGCCTTGAGCAAAGTCACTCAGTCATTTTCATTTGGGCCCGATAATTCTAACCTTTTTTCTTTCTTTCTTTCTTTTTTTTGCAGTATAGGATGGGGCTAATGCATAACCTCGATTATCTGAATTAATCTTAGATATTTTAAATACTAGATAAATATTTTAATGATGATAATTGTAATGAAATTATTTTTTCTGACCATTAGTGGTGATACAGTATTTGTTTTAACGTTCATTTACCATTGCAGACAAGCATGAAGCTAAATTAAAAGGAGTAATATACTTTCAAGCCATTGAAGAAGTATATTATGATCACCTCAAGAATGCTAACAAGGTAAATGTTGAATTTTAGATTTCTACAATGTGAATGCATAACTAAGTTAGGGAGAAGATGTTTTTTGAATTCTAAGCAATTTAGATTTGTCTTTCTGACATAACAGATATGGTCAGAATAGTGTTGAAAAAGTAAACATACAAGTAATTAGTGCAGCTAATCTTTTTGTAAAAAAAAAAGTCACGACAAAATGAGGAAATATTCTGGATATATTGATTTAGAAGACCCTGCCAAGTAACTCTTTACTAGGGTCCTAAGAAGGAGCTACTATGAGAAGGATCATGAGGAAATGTCTTAGTAAAGCTAAGGTGAACAGTTTATTGAGCTATTTATGGAGCACCCACTAGCAGCTAGGTACTCTGCTAGAGCTTTACAAAATAGCTGCTAAGAAAATTGGGGAGCTCTTTGTGAGAGTTCTTGTGCAGAAAGGCCAGAAAAATAGCCAATCTTGAGAATGGTTGTATTAGAGCAAAAGTAATAGCTACGTAGATTTCTATAAATTGGAACTTTTAATGAGGGAGAAGCCCTCACGTATCTCTGTGTTGTATTTAATGGTATCATTTCAAGATGTTTTACATTATTTTCCTTTTTTAATTTTTAGAGTCCTAATCCGTTACTCACCTTCAGTGTCAAGACGCATGACAGAATCTACTACATGGTGGCCCCATCGCCAGAAGCCATGCGCATCTGGATGGATGTTATAGTTACCGGGGCAGAAGGCTACACTCACTTCTTGTTGTAGTGAACTGGCCCAACAGTCCACTTCAGGGCAGACTGCAATAATCTCTTACAAGAATGAAGCCATACTCAGTCCCAGGTGGAATGACCCAACAGACCCAGCCCTTTAACTGTGTATACTCAGAACTGCTTTCATATTCACAGGAAGTTTTCATTTATAAATGAGAAAGAAGGGGCTTTTAATTCAAAGCTTGACCATAAATAATTCAAAGCTTGATCATAAAAAGCAAAAGAATTGAAGCACCTACGAGAAAGAAAACAATATTTTGGTAAATAGCATCACTTGTAGGAACATTTCTTACAAACTATTTTTTATCAGTTGTTGACTTTGGTGAAATAAACTAAATTGTTTACAAAATGTCTGTATGTACTTGGAAATATGAAATTGTCTTAGCACCCAAATCATTGGCATTGACGTTATTGGTAATCAACTGGCTTTTTTTTTTAAGGAGCATTTTGCTGAAGGTTATTTTATAAATATAAGCAAAGGGCTTGAAGGGGAATATGTTGTAAGAGGAGTTTTGTCCTAATTTCTAAGTACTACACCAAAACCAAAGACTTGGCATGACTTCTGTCTAACAGTAGTAGTTTCAAGTGATGAACTGCATTTCGTGTTACTCTACATTTTTTAATAGTACTTTGATGCCAACAAGTGCCCAAGAAGTTGACTTTGAAGAGTTGCCAACAGCATAAGTTACTGTACATACGTAGCAAACCACTTTTTGTAAAAGAAGAAAGGACAAAAAGCCGTGTGTTTTAGGAAAAGAAGTGGTCTTAGACATTGTCACATTGGGCAATTTAAAATAAAGAGAATATTTAGGAGCTTATTTTGCTGAGACGTTCTCCATTTCCAGTGCTGAGAATAAAGGCAACCAGTAGCCTATTTCCTTTAGATTGTCTGATTTCTCTGTTGTGGAGTACACATTGTTAATTGCAGCCTCAGATGACATAACCATGAAATCAGAGCTCTGTTTTCACCAAAGAACAGACCAATTAAAATACTTATTTACAAAAGTATTGTAGTTCCATTAAAAGGCAAATGAAGTTCAACTTAATGTTCTCTGTAATGTACTATTTTATTATGTTTTTCCTTATGATTAGCCTTTTTTTAGAGTTAAATTAATTTTTGTTGAATGAAATGACTTCAGGCAAGTCTCTTTTGTAATGGTTCTTAAATGCCATTTATCCTGGTTTTTCATGCTGTGTGTTTGTAAGTATGAATGTACTCTCTCCTAAAACTTAGCAAATAAATAGAGGTAGAGAATAATGATGTTACTTACTAGTAACAAGTGAAATGAGTAAATTAGAAGTGTCTGTAAAATCGTCAGGCCTGACGGAGTACAGTTTTTTTTTTTTTAATTTGCAGTGGTTTGTATACATGTTGCCAATAATAAGATTTTGCAACTGGATGACACATGATTTTACTTGAACAGTAAAAGACAAAAATCACAGAAGACATCTTTATCATCTGTTTTTTTTTCAGAGATTCCCCCAAACCCTGTAATGATCTAAGAGAGTGAAATATATTTGCTAAAATTTTATTGGTTAATGTAAAGATATAACTTTTCTGAACTGTACTTTACTTTCTTCATAGGATTGTAAAGATACTCTAATCAACTTTATATCTTGCATGATGTAGTAAACCTTTTAAATATGTGTGTTAAAATATGTTGAGTTTGGATTAAAATGTTGACCAGATTTCCCATTTGCAAATAAACGCATCTCTCATCAGGAAGTTACCTATTGGTAACATGACAGGGGATGGCGTAATGAGCAAAAGTCAATTACAGAATTTACATAAAGGTTGTTGTGTGCCAACATTATGACTTCTACTTTATAAACAGAAGTAATCAGAAGCATCTCTGGTCACATTCCTGTTGATAACAAAAGGAAATAACCCCTGAAAAATCTGACATCTTATTGTCCCTTTGCACAGATGCAATTATTACTGGGGACTGAAGGACTGTGTCTACATGTCCTTCCATCTGACAGGCGAAAAATCACGCTGGTGTGAAGTTAAAGCTCTAGGGCTTTACTTGGTGGGGATATCATTTGTCTTTCTGAACTAAGGCAGCAGATTTCAGAAAAACTGCCTTCAACAACATGTCTTTCAAACCTGTTAATGAAAGCAATATTGACAGTAGGAAATAAATTTGTCTACTTCAAGCCCATGACTGTCAGTAAAAGCATCTTCACTTGACACTAGCCACAGTTTTTCCTGATTTCTTACACTGATGAAGGTGGATAGAGAAAATAATCCATGAGTTTCCCTGCTTTTTTGTGCCGTGTCTTTCCCACTCTGAGGACAAGTCAGCTTTTTGTTTGTTTTGTTGCCTATAAAATGTAAGAATACCTGCAAAAATAAAGGGAGAGAATAGGAACAGGAATGACTGAGAATACTTGAAATTATCCAAAACCATAGGAAGAAGTGTTTATTATTAAGATAAAGGATGGTTTAGTGATGTATATTGGGCATCACCTTAGTGATGTAGTTCCTTTGGAGTCTTCAACAGACTTAATGGTGAGCTGGCAAAATAGCTCAGTAAGTTTTGGAGAAAGCTGCTAAAATCAAGCAGCTGTCCTTGCTCTGTTTCTGGCATTACACCTCTTAAGAGATCCATGGAGTTTTTATTTATCCAACTTTCTCTGTGTTTTAATAGGACAGGTTCTCAAGACTCCAGAGTGGCTGGATTCACTGTACCCAGCCTTTGCCTTTAACTCTAGCACCAGTCATTGCTCCAAAACTTATGACCAAGATAGTAAAGTGGCTTTAACTCCAAGTATTAAACCAGCCACAGTAACTTTTAAATAGAAAGAGAGAAAAAAAAACTAGGTAAGGCCTTATTTGTTGATACTTGAGGCCCCCAGAAATTGCCTTGAAGGATTTAAGAACTAGAATCTAGAAATCCTTGTACTGTAATTTATTCAACCATCTTTTTAATTGGCCATTCCATTTTTTTTTCTGTTTGTGTCTTAAAAATGATGCTATAGAAGATAACATGCATCCTTATGAACTAGTATATTTTTTCTGCAGGACAGGCACTAATTGGAGCCACTGGGTCAAAGAGTATTGAAAATGCTGTATATTTTATATTGTCATAGGTGTGGTCAGATCACTTGTCCAAAGAGTTTAGCAGTTTACCCTCCCACCAACCATACATGAGTGACAGTTTCCAAGCATCCTTGCCAATAGTTGCTTTTTAACCTCTGCCAATCTGATGGGTAGGAAAAAGGCATTTTTTTAAAAATTCACTTTTCAATTAGTGAGGTTGATCACTATGTTTACATATATGAACTGCCTATTCACAGCTGCTGGCCAATTTTATTGGAATTACATTTTTTTTATTTCTAACTGAACAAAAGTATTAGTGTTCTGTTATCTATGCTGTAAAAGCAATTTTCATAGACTCATTTGACTCAAGGTGACTTTTTTGCCAAAAATTGAATTCGCATACATTTTTATTCCTTATGATTTTGGGATTTCAAATCTTGCTTAAGAAAAGTCACTTCTATCCCTGAACTATAAATTTTTCTCCTAAACTGTATTTAATCCTTTCAGTTTTATTCTTTCGTTGAGATCGTTTTATCTACTGGCATTTATTTTTGCATACAGTATGAAGCAGGGGTCAGAATTCAATAGTTCAGCAGTCCGGCGTACAAATAGCTAGAACAAAAACAAACTGAAATGGGGCGAAAGAGCGGCGAATGTTCGATTCAACTCCAAGTGTTTACACAAGCAGGTTTCAGGTCAAATCTTGGAACCATTTCCGGTACCAGTCAAAACTGTCAGGGATGAGAACGATTGTAACGCAGCAAGCCTAGCATTTTATGTTTCCACTCCCTAGTGTCCTTGGGATGATGGGATGGTTTCCTGGAACAGTGGATAGGGTTGCTCTCCGCGCTTCCAATCCTGGAGTGTTTACCCACCGAGAATGTAGCCTACCGAGACGTTCAAAACATTCCAAACTGTCATAGTCAAAACCTCCACAGCCGAACAGCCCAAGAGCGAAAGGCTGGGAAGAGCGAGGACGCTCTGCGCATGTGCGCCCTCTGGGTGGTGAAAATCGTACAGCCGCTGTTTACCAAGTTCCGCCTTCCAGCCGGCGGCGCATGCGCAGCCTTGGTTCCTGAGCGCTCTGCGCGTTTCCGTAGGTCGGCGCGGGGCGAAAGGACCGCTGGGAAGATGGCGGGGCTGGGCAAGGCTGCTGTGGCGGCTTGGGAACCTTATCGCAGGTGGGGCTGGCCGGCCGTCTCCTTCGGTGTCCACCGTGGTCTCGGCGCGTTGCTTGCACGGAAGCCCGAGCGGGCGCCATGGTGGCTCCCAGGTCAGTGTCCGAATGTCTGGAGTAGGACGTGTTCTTTCGAACATCCCTAGTTCTGTCAGTTCGTGTCCCATTCGCTTTTGGCGCCACATTCGGAAATGCTGTTCTCAGGTTCTCGGTACCCCAGTTTTAGGCGCTTTCCACAGTTCTGTGAAGGCTGTGAGGAGAGCTCTGCCGGGCCCTGGGGTCTCCTGGACAAGCGGGGCGGTTGATGGAGTTACTCTGCAGTCGAAGGATCCTGCTCTCTCCTGGCCTCCCCTGCGTAAAGTGCCAACACAAGGAAAATTAGATGTGTATTTAATGCGTTGGACTGTTAGTTGCTTTTTTTTTTCTTTCTGCAGGTTTTAAGGGGCGTATAGATCTTGACTACTGCCCCCCCTTGAGGGATTTTACAGTATGAACGTTTTCTTTGTAAAGGTGTAGACGCTGTCATCAATCCTAATTTCTAGGGTTTTAGGTTTTTTTTCCCGATTATCCCAGCCCAGTAAAAAGCATAATCATTACACTACAAAGGAAATTAGAATTTGGACCAAAAATTAGAGCACCTGACTATTTTATCTTGTGTTTAATTCTTCTGCGTCTCACCCCACCTCTACCCCCAACCCCCGCATAAACAGTCCGTCTTTCTGAAATGTGTCTTTTTATTTTTTGGTTTTGTTGTGTTCACACCCTTGCCACACAGCTGTCATATGCATGGTACTTGGAATGGGAATTGTCATAGCAAATACCCTTTGTTTTGAGTTAAAAATTTTAAACATAATCCGTTTAACTTACATTTAATTGTACACAACCAAAAGGCTATTATATATCTGTTCCTCTAGCAAAGTGTAGTATGTCACTTCATTAATAAGAGTATGATACTCTTTCATCTATTCAGTAATCATTTATTGAGTGCTTAGGCCCCAGGCTTTAAGCTAATCCTTACAGTACAAAGATCATTTATGAATATAGTGTTGAGAACCTGACCACTTATAATTCACCAAGATTAAATAAATTATAATTGGTTCATGGAGAAATTCTTGGGAAGTAATGTGGAGAAGAGGATAGGTAGGAGTTTTTGAGTGCGGAGTTAAGGAAATGGAAAATGAACATGTTTGCTGCTACAGCCTGCCAACCAACATTACTGGCTTCTGCTAGCATTGTTTTTCACTAAAAGTTTTAAATTTGGCATATTTCGCTATACATTGAAACTCTGAAACAGGCTTACATGTAAAAGGGAGGTAGCTTTAAGGCCTTCAATTCAGTTGTTTTTTTTTTTTAAATCAACTTCTTAAATCCAAAACTAGGAAAACTTCATCGGCTCACATGGAGGAGACTGAGAAGTTCTCATTAGCCACAATAAAGTGGAGAAAAGTTTCATGTAATACAAAGAAGAGGTTTCATTGGTCCAGAAAAAGACTGTAAGGGAATACACAAATCTAATTTCTTTGGAGGGAGGAGGGTGGGATTATAAATGACTTTTTGATTTTTTAAATATCTTTCTACTTTTTTTAAGAGCAAGTATTGATTTTATGGTAGGGAAAGAGCTTTTAAAACAATGAAATGAAATATCCTTGTTAAGGTTTACCATTTGTGCCTTTGTACTTAAATTGCACTAAGATTTGTGTGCACCATTCACAAAAACCAAAGCAATAAGTAGAACAGTTTTTCCAAAAATGAGACAATCATATATTTATACAAGGTTACTTGTGAAGAGGGGCGGGTATAGCTCAGTGATAGGGTCCGTACTTAGCATTGCATGAGGTTCTGGGTTCTCCAGTACCTCCGTTAAATAAACAAAAACAAACAAACCTAATTGCCCCCCCAAAACAAACAAAAAACCTTAGAATAAAGAGAACATGTTTACTTGTAAAGAAATTGCTCACCGAACCCACTTCAGTGGATACAGAAGCATGATTAGCTACGACCATGGCCCATGATTTTATGGGTGCAGAGGGAGCAATAAAAGGGGCACAGCACATCCCTTGAAGCACTTTCCCAAGAGCAGACCCAACTTGTTTCTCCCCCTCCCCACCAAAAAGTAGAGGATGTGAAACTCCTCAAACATTAAAAGAAGTTAAAAGAAGACAGAAATCTCAAGAGAGGGCTAAAACTAGTGCAGGTAAATCTGAATGTTGATCGATAATATTTAAGACACAGTGTAATAGCAACAGGAAGACATTTTTGCCCCAATCTCTCTTTTGTTGCCTTGAAATTTCCTCCTCATTGTGTATTTTAGAAGCATCAAGACTGGACCTTGCTCTAAAAAGGTACTGATTTTGACATGATTTTTAAATGTATCATGCACAGACTTAAGATTTTAATACTTCAGGTCTGTATTTATTTTTTCTATTAGATGGAAATAGTATCTGACATCAGTTTGATGAGTTAAAGTTTGAAAATATGTATGGTTTTCCAAGAACTGTATTT